ACTCTTTCCTGCCTATGCAGGGGGTCGGACTCGATGATCTATTGAGGTCCCTTCCGGCCCTAACATCTGTGAATCTATGTATGTACCTGGATTTCACTGCTTCATTAACTGGATTGTATTGGGAAACGTAAAAGGGGAAAATGTCCAGTACCCTTTAGTGTTTTGAAGGAAGAGCTGTCAAAGAATGGGGACATAACCCTGTATATCTGAAAGAATGCTGAAACGATCAATCTCTTGAGGTTTGTGGTTGCAAGTTTTGATAATGTTGGATAACGCTATTGACATCACAGATCACAGGATAACCTGCTTTGCTTTAAACTGATGACCCTTGTACTCTTGTAGAAAAATACTTCTTTACTTCAGTGTTTGCATTATTACTCTGTGCGTGTCCACATGTGCATAATTTATATTTATGTGGTCATAAATATACCCTTGTAAAATATTTTAAACACCTACAAAAAAGGCAAATTATTTGTAAATGCCTTTTTCTTTTCAGATCAAGTTTCCTCAGGAGATTCAGATCATTGTGATGAAGGTAAATGGTTTTATATGGCTTTCTAATCTTTTTAAATAACAATTGATTTGTCCTTGGTTTAAATTTAGTTCATCAGCCATTACAGTCTGCTTACAGTGACATGAAAAATATTGTGTGAAAACAGACATCTGAGACTTATGACAAAAAGATGACATTTAAATGTATGGGAAGGATCAATTGTAAACTTAGGGAGATTTCAAAACTGGAACCCTATTGAAATTTACAGAAAGGAAAAATGTGAAATCTGAGGGAAATGCAATAGAATTGAAATGCGTGTAAAATCATAGTTAATTTTTTGGAAGAAAGAATAGAAAAATGAAAGGAAATATTACACTATTGACTATAGGGGTTTTGTTTATATATACATGCACATACTATCTTATAGTAGTAATGCTGTGCTTCTAGTAATAGCAGAATAGTAGTAGAATAGTAATAACACTGTACTATTAAGCATACACTAGTAGAATTCTCAGAAATTTAAAAAGTATGTACAATAGCTACACAAAATAGATAAGAGAACTGTGTAAGGACATGACTTGCTCAATATGATCTAAGGTTAAACCAAAGTCCAATATAGTTTGTACCTGATCTATTTCAGAGAGCCTTCTGGTACAAAGAAGAAAGATAGGTCCTAGTGCCTATTTTGGCAGTGGTGCACGCCACTAATTCTGCTGTCTAATAGCTGTTTTTGCTAAAGGAACTTTGCCCTCCTAGGTCTCCTAATTTCTTGCTGCAGCGTATTTGAAAAAGACTGATACCTCCTATTTACCTAATCTTCTTTTTTAATATAGGATTTTGGGTGTTCTCCATACTTTTTATTACTCTGCTAAACACAGTGGGTGCTTTTACACATATGCTTTATTGTGGAGGAAACTAATTGGCTCCATTGCAAAGCGTCACAGTCTACACATTCACCAGTATTAGGGTGCAGTGAACTAATTAACTCTGCTGTAAAATAGTACTATCACATGTTGGAGTAATTTACTGTGCTGAAATGCATGTGTAAATGCTGACCGTGGGTGTAAATTACACCCAGTCAGACCGCCAGCCTACAGCCTCTGTTGCCTCAGCTCAAACTGTTACTGTCCCAAGTGCATGTGTAAATGCTGCTTCCAGGAGGAGTTTACTTTAGCTCAAACTGCTCTGGAGTTTATTACTTCACATTAATTTCACACGTAGGTGTACCCAGTGATTCCTGAAGTTGTTCCCTTGCTCCTCAGGGTCAGACTTTAGGCTGCACCTGGTGATGCCAGGAGGGAACCATAGGGGTCTCTTTCCTAAGTATGTTAGATGGAAGTTTTGGTTTAAGAACTCTAATCTTCCTTCCACCCCTATTGGGGTCTGATTGTAATTATTGGGCATGTCTACACGTTCATTTAAGTGCAACTAAATTTAATGTTTATTAAGCTAATGCACATTAAATGATTTTTGGCAAGTACACGTGCAGGGACTGGGCATTAATGTGCTTTAACTAAATGTACCTAAATTTGATACCTGCATTTACAGGTATCAAATTTAGGTACAATTAGCCTAATTTCGCCATTTTTAATGCACATTAAGGGCGTGCCCATGTAGACGCATGCCCGTAATGCTCTTTAAGTTAAGCTAATGCGCATTAACACATCTCATATAGATACACTCACTATTATTATATTTTGAGCTTTAAATTGTAAAACTGTAGGTGCATGTAAGCCAGGAGAATTTCTCTACCATATTACAGTTTTTACTCAGTTGATATAAATCAGCACTTGACTCAAATCTTGCATTTTTATTTCATTCTTTTATCATCCTGATTCAAAATACAGTAACTCTAGATACCTACATTGGTCTCTACTGGTGGGAGTAAAACAGATCAGTTGAGTCTTGATGCATTTGCCAGTGTGTCTGATTTTTATGTATCATATCTTTGTTTTTAAATAATTAGACACTTATAATTCTCTCTCTCATCTTATGAGGCTGTGTGCACCAATGCAGACTAGGTGCTGCATTACTTTGTTTAATTTTAGGAACAGAGTGTTGACACAGCTGTTGACACAAGGATCAGTGTTGTGGAGCAGAGTCCATGGCGATGCCATGTCAAAGCAGTAATGTTTTTCTTAAATAGCTAATCTTAAAGTAACAGTTCTGGTTGTCAGGCAACTAGCTTGTCAAATACTTTTGCTGTATCTCTGTTGCTGTCCTTGGGATGGAGATCAATGAATAATGATACGGCATTGTTTCTATGCAGTATTGTATATCCTTTCTATACCTACTGGAAATAAAGTAGTAGACTTCAGCAAATATTTCCATTTATTGTAGAAAAGGACAGGTAAGGTTGCTTTAATTAGAGGTGCACCAATATATTGGTCACATATTGAATGGGCACTGGTAAAAGAAAAATTAACATGATCAGCCATTGGCTTTTTTTGGCAGGTGTAGCCAATAATGTCACTGATAAATGCCGCATGCATGCATGCAGCCAGGAATGCAGCCTGACAGCTTGGAGAGCAGAGTCCTGCTGGCAAGTCTGTGGGGGGAAGTGGTGGGGGGGCAAATCGAGGCCCCCATTCTGAGGGAGGGAGTGGGGCAGGCACTGCTCAGTCAGGATGGTGAATGCTACCCCAGGACTGGGAGCAGAATGGAATCATGGGTGGCTTGCTCCAGGGGGGACTCTCTGTCGCTGTGCACACCCTGGGGGAGGCATGGGCCTCCCTGGATTTGTGTGGGGTAAGGGTGGGCTGCCTACTGTGGGCTCAGGGCCAGGGGCTGTGCCGGGCTCAGGGCCAGGGGCTGTGCCAGCCTCTTCCTAGCAGGGGGCCTGGGCCAGGGCTGCTGTTGGAGCGGACTGGGGTGGGACATGCTCAACTGTGCAGGGTAGGCAGTGTTGGCAGCACTGGGAGGGGTGGCTGTGGGGCATTTTGGGGTGGCTATAGCCTCCCAGGCCCTCCCCAGTGCTGCCCCTGCTCAGGGCACTCTGGTCTGCTGCCTTTCCTTTGGGAGCCCCCTGCTTCAGTGTGGGGCTCCTGAGAAAAAGACAGAGCAGAGTGCCCTGAACAGGGGTGGCACTAGGGGAGAGCTTGGGGGGCTGTAGCCACCTCAGAATTCCCCATAGCTTCCCCTGTAGTCACTTCTCCCAGTGCTGCTGCTGCCCACCCCACACAGCTGAACCTGCCCTGCACCGGTCCCACCTGCTCTGAGAGCAGCCCTGGCCCAGCCCCCCTGCTGGGAAGAGGCTGGCACAGCCCCTGGCCCTGAGCCCACAGTGGGCAGCCTGCTGTCGCCTCATGTACAAATTGGGGGGGGGGCATATGCCCCCGATGCCTCCCTCAGGAGTGCATGCAGTGTTGGGGAGCCACTCCTGCCTGTGCTCCCTGGATGAGATGCCCATGGCTCCACCCCACTCCTGGCCCTGGAGTTGCATTTATTGCCCTGGTTGGGCAGTGCCTGCTCCTACCCTACTTCCTACCTCACTGTAGGAGCCTTGAGCTGCACTTCCATGCCCCCCCACCCCTACAGACTTACTGGCAGAATGCTGGTCTCCAAGCTGCTGGGCTGCTTTCCTGTAAATCGGTTATCGGAGCAGTATCGGCTGATATGGCTGGTTAATAATCAGCTATTGGTTTCCGCCAAGAAAATCATTATCGGTGCAGCCCTAGCTTTAATATTTAAAGAACACGAGATAATTAAAAACTTACAAAGCCTACAATGTTAGGCCTGGAATATTGTAGCCATGCTGGTCCAAGAAATATGCAAGAAGGAAATTGAGCCCTGAAAACTTAACTGAACCCTTTTTTGATGTCTTTCATGTATCTTGAATAATGAATGTTGAATTTAATAATGTAGGAAATAAGTTCTTTTGTTCTTCATTTATTTAATTTTTGAGGTAGACATGCTGTTGTCATCTACTGGGAAACTGTACACGCATGCTGCAAATAGTTTTTTATATTAATTGTGTTTAAAAATATATTTTGTTTCACATACATTTTCTAGTGGCCCAATGTAAAATCAGATTAAACAGTTCTTTGAAAATTAGTTTTCTTAAAGTATTTTTTAAATGTTTAATAGATCTAGACAACAGTGATGAACAAGATGGTCCTTCAGATGCTGACTTTTGGAAAGGTCCTTTGCAAGAAACAGATGAAAAATCACAGTAAGTTCTGATGCCAGTAGGTTGTATACCTTATAATTATACTTATTAAAAAATGTGGCTTTATTTATACATTTCTTCAGGTTTTTATTATAACTATTCCAACTTTTAAAGTCAATGCCAAATCCTCTTCCCTTCACCAAGCACAATAATGTACTCCTGGAGAGAGGGAAAGAGGAGACGTGTGAAATTTGGAGAAATTTTCCTATCTCCCAGTGATGAGGCTGCAATAGAAGCTCCAGCCTACAGAGATCAGTAGAATAATATACAAGACCTGGTGGCCTTAGCAGTTAACAAACACTAAGGGATAAATCTTGTTTTATCCTCACACACCTTAGTATCCTTACACACCTTGAAGTAGCAATTTTCTATCTGTGGTAGAGTAGGTTGAACCTGTGTGTGTACTTTCTGAAAATAAATTAGTGGTAGTAGAGAAGAAAAAGGCTTCCCACTTTTTTTTGCTGAATAGCCTAGTGGTTAGAGGACTGGCCCAGAGAGTGGGAAACCCAGGTTCTAGCCCCTCCCTTGCCAGAATTGCAGCTTCAAGCCCCCTCTGGGTATTTCACCAAAGTGCTCTAACTACTAGGTCATAACCAAGCATTCTCCAGCCCTTGTATTGAAACTGGCCCATTGCACCTTGCAGTTATTGGATAAATGGATAAATAGTATTGGAATAATTTCTGCCTTACTGGCAGCAGGGGCCCAGGGTAGAACCCAGGATCCTCTTCCTGCCAGCACAGCATCCATACTGCTGAGCCAGCCTCCCTCTGACTTTCTCTTGGTCCCACATTTCCTCCCCTCCTGGCTGCCTAGTGGGCCAACCTCAAGAAGTGGGCTAGAGAGTGCTGTGAATAAAATGTTGCTGTTCTTGCCCCATTTAGGCTCAGAACCTAGGGCTGCTTCTTTTCCAGTGCAACAGCCACCTGACTGAGCCACCCTTCCTCTGGCTTGGTCTCCTTCTGGGCAATGTTGTGGCGTTCTGTAATCTGTTGTTTAGGGTACATTGCTGGGAAGCAAGAGATGCAAATTCAGACCCCGTCTGGGAGTGTACTGGGAGGAGGGACAGAACATCTGGGTTTCCTGCTCTCTGGGCAAAGTGCTTTAGCTTCTGCACTGTTTGGCTAAAAGGTCAAATAACTGCTAGTCATGGCTTTTCTGCAACCAAAATGTTGGGACTTTCAGGGCAAGCTTCATGGAATCCTAACTGTGCATAAGAGCAAAACATTACAGTTATGTGGCTATATGATTGCCACTAAGGTAAGCATGCCTAAGCAGGGTTTAGCCTTAAGAGATCTATTTTGAGAGCTAATCTGGGTTAGTGGCAAATCAAGAAATGTCAGGTTATGGATAATAGGAATAAATAGAAATGTAAACAGCCACCTGAACCCAGATAGATACATTGTTTCCCATATCTGTACTTCCCCACAGATGCTTATCAGCAAATGGTGGACTCTGAGAGCAGGTGCTCTAATGTTTTATCCTTTCTGTACCATGCAACCTAATGCTTGATATGATAAGAGTAAAACAGGGGTGTGCATTTATTTCAGCTGGAGGGCCGCTCAGCAACTTCTGGTGAGCTGTTGAGGGTCGAAAGGCACCTCCATCCCTTGACAGGTGCCCCGTCCCCTGGTTGTCATCTTGGTACTAGAAGTCCTAGGCTAACCCCTGACCTTTGTTACCAGAAGTCCCTCCCCTTGCCTCCAGAAGCAATCCTTTTGGGAGGCAGGGCTTGCCATATTGGAACCAGAAAACCCCCCTAAATCATATACTAAAAATCAAACAAATAGCATATCATAATTTTATTTTTTTTAAATGTTGTTCTGTTTTATGTGTTTGCATAGTTCATCTTATAACCACATATTTTAAATTTTTGCAGTAAAAGGAGTTAGATGCTTTGTGGTTACAAATTAAAGCACTTCATTGTTTGACAGATTTTATTTTCCTTTTTCTTATAGGGAGGAAGAATTTGATGAGTACTTTCAAGACTTGTTTCTCTGAAACTTCCTGCGGAACCCTAGGTTGAATTCTCCTTGAATTTTCTTATTCTAGTATGGGTAACAAGGCAGACGTAGGATTCCAAATGTTTTTTGGTTTTCTGTTGAAGTACCATTAAAGGCTATGCTTTGCAACTCACTGTCCATTGATGCACACTTTCATTTATGTAGAGCACACTGGGGTGTGCTCAGGTATAGCCAATTGCAGGACTGGAGCTTAAACAATTGAATATGATACCTTTATATGTTCATGAAGAAGGAAATGTAATTTCTGTTCAACTGGGTTTCCTTACCAGAGGGCATGTCTACACGAAACACTGAACTGCGCAGTAGGGTAATTTACTGCACAGTACATGCACACGTCCATACATACACACGCTTACTGCACAGTAAAAACCCTTAATCGCAAGTAAATTGATACCTGCAAATGCAGGTATCAAATTTACTTGCAGTTAGTTACTGCCCAGTAATGCACGTGTAGACACGACCTGGGAACAAATTTGTTCCCAGGTCAGTCCTGCCAGCAGGGAGCCGGCTTAAGGCTAGCCCTAGGGCTCTGGGCTCAGAGCCTCTCCTGACCCAGGGCTGGGCTGCCTCTATGGCAGCTCCTGCCTCAGGCCTTTAAAAGCCTGCAGGCATTTTGAGCCTTGGGGCACAATGGCAGGCAGCCTTAGGCAACTACTGGCCCTGTGACTACCTGCACCAGCCTGTCTGCACCCTGGCACTGCTGCCTGGCACTGCAGTGCCATGCGCCTGCCAGGCCCATGTCCAGGCCTGCAGGCTGCTGCAGGCTCCAGCCAGAACTGCCAGCACCCAGGCTCAGCTGCAGGCAGCTTTTGACTGCCAGGGCTAGCTCCACCTGCCTGTAGCCCAAACCCAGTAGTCAGCCTGGGGCCTGCAGGTGCCTCAGCCATGCAGCTGTCAGTCCCATGCTGGGCCCTGTGTTGGGTGCTGCAGGCAGCTGCCCAGAGCCAGCAGTAAAGGGGCAGCTGCTTGGAGGCCCAAAGAGCTGGTGCGGGAGCCCTGATGGCAACGTCTTCACTGACACCCATGCTCATGTCCATGCCCACCATTCAGGGCCCCAGCTGGTTGCAGAAGGAGACTGGTGACCTTATGGTATTGTGAGAAGAGGTGGAGATGCAGTGCCACTTCAAGTGGGGCTCCAACACCCATGTCTATGTGGGGTGGTCAGGCCAGATGTGAGAGTGCAGGCCCAACCAGTTGGTGCAGCAGTGCCACATAAAGATCAAGGCCTTGTGGGGACAGTGGGTTGCCATCACCAACCACAATTGTTGGCTGGGGAGTACCTGTAAGTCCATACTCTTTATGTGACAGCTGATGGACATGCTTGCACCCCAGGACCCAGGCCACAGCTGTGTTGTATACAGCAACATGGGCAGCCTGCCTGAGCCCAAGCCCCTACCTGGTGGCCAGAGGTGGTGAGGCTGGAGATCCAGGAGGGTGACGGTGGCCCTGGAGCCTGTTGTCGGTGTCCGTGCCCGGGTCCAGCCAGGTGGATGAGGATTCATGAGGAAGGTGCATGTAGCAGGTGGGCAGGCCATCACTGCATGTCGAGGAGCCGGGAGGGACGAGATGGCCATGGACCAGCTGGCAGTCAGCGTAGCAGGGCCAGCATGGCGGCCAGCAGGAACATGGGGCACTGGTTGTCACTGCCAGGGGCAGGGGCAGGAGCAGCCATGGCATGGGGGGGAAGGCACAGGCGATGAGGAGAGCACTGCTGCGTGCTGTGCCTGTGCTGTTTATGCTGCTCCTGGCTAGAGAAGTGGCTGACCGGAGAGCAGCGAGTGGGGCTGCCTTTTGAAGAGGGCTGCTGGCAGCTGCAGCCAGAGTCTGGAGTGCTCCTCGATGGCAGCTGGGGCCGCAGATTTACTACCATTACCAGCAAATCTGCTCCCGCTTCCCTGCACGTGTAGATGCCTGTCCAACACTGTTTACTTGCGAGTAATTTATTCATAAGTAAACTCGTGCCACAGCAAATGCACGTGTAGACATTCCCAGTGTTTATCAATTTTCAGATACTTGAAGTACTTTCTTCCATATTGGGCTTTTTAACAGATGTTTTAAACCATAATTTAGGTGCATCCCAAAACCATTTACAACAAAACACTTCAATAATTTGAAAAGGAAATAATATATTTTTTAAATCACACTACCTGAAATTAATGGATTTAAAACAAATTCCTCGATCATGCAACCTTGAATATTCAAGTGTCTGTTTGTGTAAATGTTTTGGAAATAGCGTTAGAAAAGTTTCAAATTCTGTAGAACACATTTTGTTTGGATAAAGTAATTGTTTTCGTCCTAGAAGTAAAATGTGTTTTCTTTTTTATTTGTTTTATAAAATTTATCCTATTGTTACCTCTATTTTAAAAATTACTTTCAAATGAATGTTTAGTAATCCCTGTAGTCACTCTGTTCTTCATTCTGATTGTTAATTGAAATTTTCAGTTTATAATATTTGTTATAACAAGTAAAATACATAGGTTACAACTAAGAAAAGCATTCTTTTTAGCATCTTTAATTTCTGATCTCCTTCACAGTGAAATGGTTATCTTGCTTTAAAACATAATCCTGAGCACCCAAGATGAGAACATGCAGTTGAGAATCTTACTGTTCTTTCCTATTCAACTGCAGCATATTTTTAAACAAATTTTATCCTGTTTCCAAAGAAACAGTTTGCACAAAAATAATTGCAATGACAGCTGATTTATAAAGGAACGTTACTTCAGATATGTGCAATTTGTGTTCATTTAGTGAAATTTTAATTTTAAGTAATGTGGGGAGAATTAATGGATCTGTATTTTTAGGTAAGAATTGGCACGATAGATGTGACAAATTACTTGATATAGAAAACAGAGTTGTAGACATGGCTGTAATATAATTGTGAACATTATAATATATGTGCACAATTTGTATGGATGTCAACATATATCTATTTACATTTAATATTACTTAACAATTATATTTTAACAGTTCATGCATACATAATAGATAACAGTAGATAGACAGATTTAAGGTGTTCTTTAATAACAAATAAAGGTAGCTTGTGAATGCAAAGACCTTTTTTGGAAAGAAGATGGATTTCAAGGTTAATTGTCTTATCTTGCAAGCTTGGCTGAGAGCCAAATCCAGTCTTCAACAATCAGATTACAACTCTATAACTTGTCTGTAGGAGCTCTGGTAGAGTTTGTTGCTGTGTTTGCTACTGCAAATACAGTTGGCATGTGTATATAGTATACATATTAAATACATTTTTATTGAACACAGTTTAAATTTAAAATGTAATTGATAAAAATAACCTTGGAATATCCTCCTTGTATTTGCATTTACTATGGGAAAAGTATATATAATAGTGAATTTCATGGCACATTTGCTATATTTGACCTATATAAGTGGGAATATAACAAACAGGAAATTTTATGGAAGAACGTTTTATTTCTTGTTATAGTTGCACAGTATTCGTACATAGTTTATATTAGAACATTCTTCAGTTACCTCTTCTTAAGTGAGTCCTAGAGTGTGATGGGAGAGGTCAGAGTGGAGGGAGATATAGAGCACCATGGTGTGCATACAGAAAAATATGGGTGCTACCTGTGCATATTGAGATAAAAGTTGTTAATGAATAAACATATAAAAATAAATGCAACAAGTTTAATAATGGGGTCTTCATCACTTATTGCAGATCAGGATTGATGAAAGAATTCTGAAATGTTTCTTTCCTTCTGTACTCTGGAGGAAAATTTAACATACAATTAAAACATTTCTGGTAGAGGAAATCTTTTACCCTCCTTAGGAGGTGTTAGGGCCTGTCATTCAGTAGGACATATATATTTCTGTAT